CCCGGCCCAGGTCTGTCTCAGGAGGCTGCCCGGCGCTACGGTGAGCTCACCAAGCTGATACGGCAGCAGCATGAGGTGAGTGGGTCCCCCAGCCTGGGGCAGCCGGCCTCCCCAGGGGCACAGTCCCCTAAGCCACCCTCAATGTCTTCTGCTCCCCTAGATGTGCCTAAACCACTCTAACCAGTTCACCCACCTGGGCAACATCACCGAAACCAGCAAGTGAGTATCCCCCACCCTACCCTGCTGATGGCTTCACCCCACCCTACCCTGGGACCAGGGAGCCAGCCCCTCACTGCAGGCCTGAGCAGGGCCCTCTGGTTGGCAGGTTTGAGAAACTGGCAGAGGACTGTAAGCGGAGCATGGAGACTCTGAAGCAGGCCTTTGCGCGGGGTCTCCCCACACCTGTTGCCCGCTTCGAGCAGAGGACCTTCAGCATCATTAAGTAAGGCTCTGATGCCCCCGGCCTGGATGCCGCTCCGGGGTGGGGATGGGGTCTGTGTTGCCCGGAAGCTGGCAGAGGGACTTGTCTTGGGAGTAGAGTTTGGGTAGGTGGTGGGAGCAGAGCATGTGCAAGGGTCCTGAGGCAGTTGTGAGGTGTGGGTGAAGGCTGGCGAGGTGGTGCTGACAGTGGCACATTTGGAAATGGGGAAGACCCATCCAGTGAGTCTTTTGATGTACCGTGTCCTGGGGACCTGGGGAGCCCGCGAGAGACTAGATACATGGTCTGTTTGTGGTGCTTGTGGGTCATGCTCTTTGTATCAGGGGCTTCCAGAGAAACAGAACCAATAGGACATATTCATACATGCTAACACACATACACATAGAGAGAGACTTATTTTAACAAATTGGCTCACAAGATTGTGGGAGCTGGCAAGTTCAAAATCCGCAGGTCACAGGCAACAGGCTGGAAAGTCTGGCAGTCTTGTGTCCAAATTGGTAGGCCAGGGGGCGGGCTGGAAACTCACAGAATCCTTCTCCCTTGGGAAACCTCAGTTCTTGGTCTTCAGGCCTTCAGTTGATTGGGTAAGGCCCACCCACCTTGTGAAGGGTCAACCTCCTTTACTGGAGTCGACTGAATGGCAGTGTTAATCATGTAAAGGAAATACCTGCACCTAGACAGTGTTTGACCGAACAACCGGCCACTGTAGCCAAGCCACACCGGCACATGAAATTAACCGTCACGCTTTTGTTAAGTCTTCCTGACACTGTGAGGAGTTGGATGGCGTGTCGCACTTTTCAATGAGCCTAGGTGTGGCCGTTTGCCCTCCAGTGTTTGCCCACCACATCTAGGGTAATCCACACCCTTATCCTGCCTCCCAACATCTGCCAGGCCTGGTTCCCAACACTTCATCATCCTGCACTGTCCCTGCTTTACATGGCTCCAACCACATGCCAACCATGTTCCCACCTCAGGGCCTTTGCACCTGCTGTTTCCTGTGCCCAGACCCTCTTCCCCTGGTCTCCAGGTGGCCGTTCCTTCCCGACACCCAGAGGCATCTCTGATGTCCCCCCTCTAGAAGTCCTCTCCTGACTGCCCTCTCAGGCAGCCCCTCCTGAGCACACTCCATCCATCCCCTATCTTAATTCTCTGCAGAGGCGCCCACAGCATCTGAGCCTTTGTTTTTTCTGTGTGTTCACTTGTCATCTGCCCACTCAGCTCGATTGGGCTCCACGAATACAGAGATGGGGCCTGTCTCCTCTCTGTCTGTGAGGACCTTGGCTGGCACATAGTTGGGGCTCAAAAGATATTAAGTGTAAATGGCAGGTCCCCTGGCAGTGAGGGCACTGGTTGGCGCATTAAAAAAAAACCAAACCCGTTGCCATGAAGTAAATTCTGACTCATAGCAACCCTATGGGACAGAGTAGAGCTGCCCTGTAGGGTTTCCAAGGAATGGCTGGTGGATTCAAACTGCCGACCTTTTGGTTAGCAGCCGCAGCTCTTAACCACTATGCCACCATGGTTTCCGGTTGGTGGATAGTAGGTACCAAATAAATACGTCCAGACTGAAGAAAAGACACAAAACCTAGCCAGTGGCAGAACTGGACAGAGAGCTCTATTCAGTCTGATTCCAAAACTGAAGCCAAGGTGCTGAGACACCCCCAAAGGCCAAGGCGGGGCTTGCCCCCTGCCCCCATCCCCACCCTGAAGGAAAAGAAGGCATGCGGGCAGCGGTGCTGAGGTACCTCTGTCTCCCCACCTACCCACCTGCCTGCCTGGAAGGATCTTCCCCGACCTCAGCAGCAATGACATGCTCCTGTTCATCGTGAAGGGCATCAACTTGCCCACACCCTCAGGTGAGGGGGCGGCTGGCCAGGGTCAGGGATGTGGGAACCACGACTTTGCCCAGCTCTGAGCCTGGTTTGTCTACAGGGCTCTCCCCTGGGGACCTGGATGTTTTCGTTCGTTTCGACTTCCCCTATCCCAATGTGGTAGGTAGGGGGCCGCGGAGGGGAGGGCTCAAGCCTCAGTGAGCTGGGAGGTGTGGCAGGCAGGGGTCCATGGCCAGGCCCCAGGCCCCTGAGCTTTCCTGCCTCCTGTCGGGTCACAGGAAGAAGCTCAGAAAGACAAGACCAGCGTGATCAAGAACACAGATTCCCCAGGTAAGCCGTGGCCGAAGCCTCCCTCCACCTCATAGACAGAACATGAGATCACAGTCTGGCCTATCCTCAACTTCCTCTTCTCCATCCTCTTTCCGTGGCCAGAGTTCAAGGAGCAGTTCAAACTCTGCATCAACCGCGGCCACCGTGGCTTCAAAAGGGCCATCCAGACCAAAGGCATCAAGTTTGAAGTGGTCCACAAGGGGTGAGCCAGGGTCACAGGTGCTGGGTGGGCTCTAAGGAAGAGGGAGCTGCCCTGGGCCAGCCAACTTGTCCCCCCACCCCACACACATAGGGGCCTATTCAAGAACGATCGGGTCCTGGGCACAGCCCAGCTGAAGTTGGACACCCTGGAGACTGCATGCGAGGTCCGGGAGATCCTTGAGGTATGAGGTGCACATTCATCTGAACGCTCCAGTATGGCCGTGCCGCTTGTGACATTATTCAAATACCTGCCCTGAGTCCCTCAGGAGCCCCCCTCTGGGAGCCCCAGACCACCCCCAAACCCAGCACTAAATACTCTCTCCACTCTACTCCAGCCATTGTTCATTATAATTGATTAGTGTCTCAGCCAAACCCTTAGGTTCATATTTTTGAAATCTCCCTCGTTCCCCCAGATCCTGGCCCTGGGCCTCTGGCCACTGCCTGCTTTCCACCAACAACCTCCCCTGGCCCCCACCTAGGTTCTGGATGGTCGCCGCCCCACTGGGGGGCGGTTAGAGGTGATGGTCCGGATTCGGGAGCCGCTAACAGCCCAGCAGTTGGAGACGACAACCGAGAGGTGGCTGGTCATTGACCCCATGCCAGTAGCCGCGCCCACAGTAAGACCACTGCCCACCAGGCAGTCTCATGGAGGGAGGCTTGATTCAGAGGGGCCAGGACTCATGGGACTGTGTCCCCTGAAGCAGGTCACTGGGCCCAAAGGGAAGGCCCCTCCTGTGCCTGCCCCTGCGAGGGAGCCAGGGAACAGGTAGGTGACTGGGCCAGGCTGTGCTGGAGAGAACTCCCTCTTCCCTTCTCAGCCCCACCTGGACAGTTTCCACCAAGACAAGTTGGACTATGTCCCTTCCCTACTTCAAAACCTCTTCTGGCTCCCTTTCTCCTGGAGAATCCAGTTTAAACTCCTTAGCCTGATCTTTAAGACCTTTTGTGATCTGACGATCATCGATATGTCCAACATTCCCCTCCCCGCTGCCTGCTGTTGGTTCATTGACGTGCCTCATTTTTGCTGGCCTTTGGGCTTCTCTGTGTTCCTCTGACTGGAACACCCTATATCCCCATTCTTGCGCCCTATTTCTCTGCTCAACTCTTACTCATCCTTTGGGTCCCAACTTGGTTGTTCCTCCTCCAGGAAGCCCCCCAGGCTAGTCAGGGGCCTCCTCCAGGTCCCGCAGCAGCCTGAGCTCCTGTCACAGCCCTAGCTACTGGGCATCCAGTTGCGTGGGTGTGTGACCCTCTTGCCCACGAAGTTGTGGGATCAGAAAGCACCAGGGCGGCCTGGCTTGCTTCCTGCTGCATCCTCAGTGCCCAGCGTCTCTATCGAATTAACGGGGTTGGTGGGAAAGGCCCCTACAGCCCCTCATCCCACCCCACCCTGCAGACCAGCCCGGCCCCTGCACAGCCTCAGCGTGCTGGCCTTTGACCAAGAGCGTCTGGAACGGAAGGTGCGTGCCCACCCCACTGGGCTCTGCGGGGTGGGTTTGGGGGTCTGCAGGCCCAGGCAGGGCCCTAACAGCCCTCTCTGCACCTCCAGATCCTGGCCCTCAGGCAGGCACGGCGGCCAGTGCCCCCTGAGGTGGCCCAGCAGTACCAGGACATCATTCAGCGCAGCCAGTGGCAGAAATCCCAGCTGGAGCAGGGGGGCGCGGGCATCCGGCGGGGTAGGGGCTCAGGGTGGGCACAGTGGGGGAGGGGGTTAGGGTGGGTATAGTGGGGAGGGGCTCAGACTAGGCACAGTAGGGGAGGCGAGGGGCAGCCGGGCTTCCCTGACCCCTCTCTGCCCTCAGAGTACACTGCTCAGCTGGAGCGGCAGCTGCAGTTCTACACGGAGGCCGCCCGGCGCCTGGGCAACGACGGCAGCAGGGTGAGGCAGGGAAGGCAGGTAGGCCAGGTGGGCAAGGGGCAGGGCTGCCAGGCACCTGCTGACCGCCCACCCCCACAGGAGGCCGCAAAGGAGGCGCTCTACAGACGGAACCTGGTAGAGAGTGAGGTGAGGCTCGGGCAGCCGGGCCAGGTGGGGGCTGGGGTCGTGTCCGCCTTCTCTGACCCCAGTGGCCTGTCCCCCAGCTGCAGCGGCTCCGGAGATGAGGGGCCAACAAGCGGGTGGCCCCAGCCCGGGGAACAGCCCAGCAGCCCAGCGGCTGGGAGGAGCTGAGCGTGGCCCGGACTGAATGAGCAGACAATCATCGGACAATCAGCTCTCGGGACACGGACATGGGGTTGTCCCCTGCGGTGCCAACCTAGGCCCAGTTGGCAGAGCCTCCCTGGCAGGGGGCATTGGGATGGTGCCCGGCCAGCTTGGCCCAGCTCCCGGCACCCTGGGGACAGGCCTGTCTGGGTGGGCCCCAGAGAGCCCCGTTTGCACAGCCCTGGATTGCCCGGTCCCTGGCCTGCCTGGAGGTGGGAGGGGGTGGGACCAACCCTGGGGGCCCCTGCAAGCACTTTACTCCCTGTCCCTCCCCTGCCTTAACCCTCTGAAGCCTGCCCACACCCCAAAGAAGGCTCCGAGGTCACCTGAGCCCCGGCTGACTGCCCTGGCCCAGCCGGGCCCCCAGGACCAACCCTCAGAATAAACGGCTAGGGCCACACCCAGCCCAGCCCTGTCCTGTCTTTGTTTCTTGCTCCAGCCCTCAGTGGCTGACTTGGGTTCTCCCCTACAGCCCTGAGCAGGGTGTATCTGACCTGAGCACCTGCTATGGGGATACGCATGAGGGCCTGTGGTCTTTGTTTCTGCAGTGGCTGGCCTTGGGCACATCTGGATTTACACGTGGCTGGGTGACATGTAGGGCCCCTGGGTGGTGCAGGTGTTGTTCGCTCAGCCTCTAATTGAAAGGTTGATGGTTCAAACCTACCCAGTGGCACCAAGAAAGAAAGTCCTGGCGATCTGCTTCCATAGCTTACAGCCAAGAAAACTTTATGGAGCAATTCTACTCTGACACACATGGGGTCACCATGAGTTGGAATCAACTCGATGGCAATGGGTTTGGGTTTTTGGGTGGCATGTGGTGGCACCATGGGTTGATATAGGCCATGGCAACACGTGGGTGCCCTGGGGCCTGTGTGTGGATGGGTCAGGAGGACATGCACGCACCAGCCTCAGATTCCAGCTCTGCTACTTGCTAGCTGTGGGGCTTGAAACAAATTGCCTGACCCACATAGCACTCCAGAGCCTCAGTTTCCCCAGGGGCACACAGGAATGGTGAGAGCCCGTGCAGCGGGGGTTATGAGGAGCTGGCAGGCATAGCCCTGGAAGGGTGCCTGGTCCTTGTGAGTGGCCCAAAGGCATAGGCTTCATTGTCTGCGTGAGGGGCCGGGGGGATCTGGAGCAACTCCTGTGTGCTCAGCCCTCCCCCAGCTCACTGTGTGGAGGTGGCACCCCTGCCCCCCGTCAGGCTGCACCCCAGTCCCTGAGGCCTCGGAGAACTGGGCAGAGGGCCCAGGTGGGTCCTGTCTTGGCAGTCCATGGCCCAGGGGAGCCCCAGGGGCTCAGGGGCCACTTGCCCGTGGTTGACGTGGGGCGGTGGGCTGCAGCTGAACGAGGACCTGCTCCAGGTTACCAGCTGTGTCTACCACTCGGAGGTGTGGGAGGCCCAGGAAGGCCTCAGGTGCAATGCTCGTCATGTGAAGCCTGTTGGCCCTGGACAGAGAGGTGGGCGTGGGGGCTGGTCAGGGGGGCACAGACCTCCTGACCCATCACGACCGCCCAGGCCCTGCCCTGCCCAGCTGGCCGCCCGGGGCACCTGAGGAAGAGGGCGCGCAGGCGGGGTGTGCTGGCGAAGGCCTCGGGGCCCACATGGCCGATGCGGTTGCCCTGCAGGTGCAGCTCTTCCAGGGCTTCGGGCAGGTCTGGCGGCACGAAGGACAGCTCGTTGTGGCTGAGGTCCAGCACCTGGCAGGCAGGCGAGATAGCGCATGGCGGCCCCAGGCCTCTCCTGGGCCCTCCCCCTCCATGCCCAGCCCGGACTTCTGCCCCCTTCCCTCTGTTCCTTTCTGTGGCTGCTGAATTCCTCCCCTCCACAGAGGTAACCGAGTCCCTCCTCAGTGCAGCCCTGCTCTGGGTGCTGGGGCACAGCCTGAGGGCCGCCAGCTGCGGGGTCATCACGTAGGCAGCATCTCTTAACAGCCTCGAAGTTTTCCTCCCATCTTAACAGGGCAGGACCTGTGCCTGGCAACTCTGCAGGGCCTAGACTAGGGCCTGGCACCAGAGAAGGGCTAGAACTCTGTGGAACCAACAGGCTGTGGCAGCTTGACCCGCATTTGATCAGTTTGGTCAGAAGAAGCTAGAGACGGCAGTGTCCACTGGGGAGGTGGTCTCGGGGACCAGGCGCCAGGGACGGCACAGGCAAAGGCCTGGAGGCTGAGGCTGTCTCATTCACCCCAGGGCTGACACCCAGTAGAACTTCTTTATGGCATCACAGGGACTTGGAGCTGCAGGGTCTGGGCAGGTGGAGGGGCCCCGTACAGTGTTCCTACCACCTCCCTGACCTTGAGGGCCTGCAGCTCGTGCCAGGTGCCGGGCCCGATGTCGCCGACCCGGAGCCGGTTGTGGGCCAGGTTGAACTCCTGCAGCTGATCCAGGCCGGCCAATGGCTCAGGCTCAAGGGCCCGCAGCTGGTTGCGCTGCAGCCGCAGGGCGTGGAGGCTGGAGGGCAGGCCAGTGGGCAGCCGGGTCAGCTGGTTGCCGGCCAGGTCAAGGGTGCGCAGGGCATGCAGTGGGCGGAAGGCCCGGTGGTGGATGCGGGCACTGACCAGGCGGTTGTAGGCCAGGTTGAGCTCAGCCAGGCCCCGCGTGGCGGCCAGGTCGCGAGCGCCCAGTTCGGCCACTTGGTTGTGGGGCAGCACCAGGGCCCGCAGGCGGCGGGGCAGCTCCGGGGGCACGCGGTCCAGCCTGTTGCCGTACAGGTGCAGCGTGTGCAGGCGCCGCAGTGGCCGCAGAGCCCCAGGGGGCAGCCCCGTGCGCCTCAGCACGTTGTGCTGCAGCAGCAGGTAGCGCAGGCCCCGGGCCCCCTGCAGCCGGGCCGCCTCCACCCGCCAGATGCGGTTGCGGCCCAGATGCAGGATGGCCAGGGTCCGGGGCAGGCCAGCGGGCACCTCGGCCAGCTGGTTGTGGGACAGGTCCAGGTACTCGAGGCTGTACAGCTTGCTGGCAGGAGAGAGGGCCGGGAGTTGGGCCTGGCACCCAGAAGTGAGGGCCGGGCTGGCTCTCCAGGGGGGTGGGTTGAGGGGTGGTCCTAAGACAGATCTAAGTGGAGATTTCAACTTGGGAGTGATAACTCAGCAGATCTTGGCAGAAGACAAACCTGGGGTGATCAGGGCAGATTCTGGCCTGAGAGATGTGAGGATGACCAGGACAGAGAGAGGGCTGACCCTCTCCACGTGGCCGCTCTGACAACGATATCACAGGGTGGCTGGGAACAAGGACACTGCCAAGAGCTCAGCCGAGCCTGGCACACAGTAGAGGCTCAACAAATGAGTCTAGGCTAGGAGTCACACGGGAGGGAGACTGAGGGTAGGGGGTCCTAAAGTCTGGATCCTCACCCCCCGCCCGCCCCAGGCCCCACCTGAAGGTGGTGGCATCCAGGCCACTGTCGGTCAGCCGGTTGTGCTGGAGGTAGAGCTCACGGAGCTGGGTCTGGCGGCTCAGGGCTCCTCGAGGCACCTTGGAGATGAGGTTGTTCTAGGGGATGGGGGAGAGAAAGACTGAGGGGCCGAGACAGGGCATTCGGGAGCCATGGAAGGCTCTAGAGTGAGAGAGAGGAGCTTGTCTTTAGCAGGGTGCTCAGTGGAAGAGATTTAAAGAAAGGTCAATTCTAACTGCTGGAATTCCAGGCAATGGTCAGAAGGATCATGAGTGTTTACAGGGGGCCAAGTGAACAGGTAGAGGGGACTCCAGGAGAGGGTGGAGACAAGGGGACAGCCAGGGGCAAGATGAAGGAGGGGACATGGGGATCACGAGGGATTTGAGTTGGAAATACAGGCCTGGCTTCCATCATCAGAGGACTTCAGATTGTGTGGGTTCGTTTACTTTTGCGTTAATAAAGTGACGTTACATCTGCCGCGAGCCCCAGGAGCGAAGTAGGGAGTGTGAGGAGAGGCCCCCCCCGGCATCCAGCAGTCACAGGTGGCGAGCAAGACAGTGCCAGTGCCCAGCCCCCTGCCCTGGGCCGCACCTGCAGGTGGAGCCGCTCCAGCGAGGGCGGCAGGCTGGTCGGCAGGTAGCTGAGCTGGTTGCTGGAGAGGCTGAGGGTGGCAATGGCCTCAGAGCCGCGGAAGGCGTCGGGGGGCAGGCCTGCATTGCTTAGCTGGTTGTTGTGGAGGTACACGAACCTGAGGGAAGCCAGGCTCCAGCCACCAGCCTGCCCTCACCTCCCCGCTATCCGCACTACCGTCCCCTCTCTGGCCCAGGGCCTCCTTCAGGGGTACGTTTGACGGTATGTGAATGTGTGTGAGTGTGTGTGTGTGCACACGCGCGCACACGCTGTCTCCTCCTCAGGCTGGAGTTTTCCAAGACAGAACATACAGGGCCGTGTCTTTTCCCTCAGACTCCCCAGGGTGGGGCCATGCCTCCCTCAGATCCCTAGGGCAGGGCCCCCTCAGACCTCCCAGGGCAGGGCCTCCTCAGACCTCCCAGGGTGGGGCCCCCCTCAGACCCCTAAGGCAGGGCCCCCTAGGGTAGGGTCATGATCCCAGACATATCTGAAGCCTGGGGTCCTGGGCTGGGCCAGAGGCTACCTGAGCGCCGGCTTCTCCCCAAAGGTGAGCGGGAAGATCTCTGTCATTTGGTTGGCGGCCAGATCCGCAACACGGAGGGAGCGGGGCAGAAACTGGGGGGCCACCGATAGCTGCGGGAGCACAGCCCGCTGGTCCTGGTGCCCTCCCAGCCCCCACGGGTCACGCTGCGTGACCCCAGGTCAGGATGTGCCCTCTCTGGGCTTGGCCTCAGGGATAGGGGAGCTCACCTTGTTGTGGGCAACATAGATGTGCTGCAGCTGGGTGAGGGACTCGAAGGCCTCGTCTGGTAGGCCTGGAGGTGGGGGCTGGTTAGGGGACCGTGGGCCTGGCAGGGCTAGGGGAGGTGCTCCAATGCTCCCAGCTGCCCAGGGCTCCAGCTGAAGCCTAGCAGAGGCTCCTCCATGCGCTCCCAGCTTGTGCCCCCTCCCCTGTCCATACTCAAAACCCACAGCCACCCCCCCGCAGCCCGTAAGTTTCCACCCTGCTCAGCAAAGGGCATTTCTGAGAAGTCAGCCGCAGAGCTGCCCACAGACCCAGGCTGGGGAGGGAGAGGGCCTCTGGGACCTCCTGTCCCCACGTGCTGGGGAGGCACCGCCTTCTGTTCCCCTGCCCCTCACCCTCAGAGGAGATGAGGTTGTTGTGCAGATTGAGGGTCCGCAGACCACTGAGGCGTGACAGCTCGTTGTAGGGGAGCTCCTGGAGCTGGTTGTTCTATGGGACAGGAGTGGGGCATTCACACCCTGACCCATTGTCCTCAATAAGCCCTCATTCTCAACTCCCCATCAGCCCAAATAAGCAAGCCCCAGTACCCCATCACCCCACCATGACCCCTAACCCATCAACCCTGACCCCAAACAACCCCATAAGCACCAACATGTATACCCCAACACCCCACCACCACCACAGTCAACCCCAATCCCTATCACGGTGACCCCAAACAACCCCATAACTGCCAAAACATGAATCCCAACACCCGCACCAACCCCACGGTCAACCCCAAATGCCCTGACCTCAAACAATCCCATAACCATCAAGACATAGACCGCATCACCCCATCACCCTCTCGGTCATGCCCAAACTGCCAAAACATGGACCCCAACACCCCACCAACCCCACAGTCAACCCCAAATACCCTTACCTCAAACAACCCCATAACCACCAGGATGTTGACCCTAACAACACACCACCCACAGCTGACCCCAATCCCCATCACCCTGACCCCAAACAACCTCATAACTGCCAAGATGTGAACCTCAGTACCCCACCACCCCCACAGTCAACCCAAAATGTCTCATCACCCTGACCCCAAACGACCCCATGACAGCCAAGACGTGGACTCCAACACTCCATCACCCCCACAGCTGACCCCAATCCGTATCATTTCCCATATCTCTACCCCAACAATTCTCACCTCCCACACAGACCCCAACACTGTCACCAACCAACACTGAATTCCATTGCTTCCCAGATCTTCACAGTCAACTCCTTTGCCCTGGCCGTGTCCACGTACCCCTGCACCCCAGCACCCTGCACCCTATGCCTTGCATGCCAGGTCCTCACTCCCCTGTGCCCAGGCCCACCTGCAGAGAGAGGTGCTGAGCAGCCCTGGTGATGTTGTTTGGGAACACTCGCAGGTCCAGGCCGCCACAGTCCACGGTGTCTGCACGGGGGCAGGAGCAGCGCTGGGGGCAAGCCCGGGGCCGGGGCTGCGAGCTCTCCCCCAAGTGGGGGAAGGCAGCGTCCTCCATGCCAGGGGCTGCTGGGGCGCCTGGCCACATCAGAAGCAGCAGCAGAATCAGCTGCTGGAAGCAGAGGGAGTGGTCAGCAGGCCCCTGGCTGGTCAGTGGGTTGCCATGGTGACAGGAGCATCCCAAAGCAGGAGAGGGGCTGGGGGGGCAGGCATGGGCAGCAAGAGGCAGCTGGTAGAGCTGGAGGGGGGCAGGCCCCACCTTCAGTCACTCCCCCCCTTACCATAGCCAGCCCCAGCTCTGCCGTCTCGCCCGAACTGCCCACTAGGGCTCCCTAATGGAAACCAGGCAGTCACCTCCTGGAGCCTCTGCCGCGGCCACCACCACCCCCATCTCTCAGCACAGGCCACCCTCTGGCCTGTTCTCCCAGGGGCTCAAGGGGCTGGCCCACCCCTGCCCCGCCCTGGGGAGGCCAGGCAGGCGGCCGGATGGGGTGGTGAGGACAGGCCAGCCCGGCCCCCCGCTCTCCCGAACAACCCCCTCCCAGCTCCTGCTTGCGTAACCTCAGCCAGCCTGGGCTGGGCCACGAGAACAAGGAATGTTTGGGGAAAAGCTGAGATTCGCCCTGTCTGGTATTTGAGCCGACCACAGGAGAAGGAGTGGAGATGGAGAGATGGGGGAAGTTTCAGGGCGCACAAAGTTCCCTGCGGGGTAGGGGCCGGCAGTGAGGCGTCCAGGGAGGCCTGGGATCAGCCTGCCAGCCCAGACGCCAGCCTGGGGTCTCTTGGCCAGGCCTGCCATCCGGCCCCTCCTCCCCGTGCCAGCTGGCCTTGCTGGCAGCCAGAGTCCCCCCTCCCCAAATGGCTGTGGCCACCGGAAAGGAAATTACATGTATGGAGGCACCAGCATGGTGGTTAAGGCTGTGAGCTCGGTGCCAGCCTGCCTGGCTGTGAACCCTGCCACCTCTTCAGCCTCGGTGTCCCTCTGGATCCAGTGGGATAATGGCTGTACTCACCTCCCAAGAGTGTCGTAGGATTAAATGAGATAATGCATCTGGAGTGTGCAGGACAGCACTTGGCACGTCTCAGGCACTCAGCATCCAGAGTGGTGGTGTGAGCAGCGGGCCAGGAAGCACAGCCTTCACCCATTCAAATCCCCCAGATGTGCCACCTACCACCGGGCTGACTTCCCTGCCTGAACCTCAGCCTTCCTACACGTAAAATGGGGATGACAGATGATCCTCCCTCAAAGGCCTGTCATAAGATCAAAACGAGGTGATGCGTAGGAAGTGTTAAGAACTGTGCCTGCGCCTCATGAGAGCTCAGCTCAGGAGTGGCCGGTGCAGGGCGGGGCAGGCCAGGGCGGGGTGGGGCAGGGCAGTGGGCTGGGTTGAGGTCAAGGTCCCCCAGAAACAGAGCTTGAGTCCAGAATTGCCTGCGTTGATCTTGGAGAAAGTACGTATAGGCGGGCGGGGAAGTGCTACAGGAGAAGGAGGGCAGGCAACAAACCCAGTGAGTTATCAATAGAGTAATCAACTTGTCACAGTTTGCCTGGCACTTTCTGGTTTTATCACTTAAAATCCCACATTCCAAGAAACCGCTTAAAAACCAAACCGAACCTGTTGCCGTGGAGTCGATTCCAACCTATAACAACCCTATAGGACAGAGTAGAACTGCTCCATAGAGTTTCCAAGGAGCAGCTGATGGATTTGAACTGCCAACCTTCTGATTAGCAGCTGTAGCTCGCCGTAGCTCTTAACCACTGCACCACCAAGAAACCCCTCAGTCCTAGGCAAATCAGTGGTTGCTCCTTCTAGTTATAAAGCAGATTCCCACACTGGGCAATCAGGGCTCAATCCCACTGTGGAGCTTCGGGAGACAGTGTAGAGCACACATCTCAGAGTCATCCCACCTGAGGGGTCAGGGAGCTAGGGTATTGATCCAACGCCAGCCCATCAGTTATTAGTTGGGCTGCTCCTGAGCACTTTGGGTAGAGCAGATTCCAGCCCCAAAGAGATGCAAATACCTGAAATTGGAGGTAGGCTAGGTGTGTCCCAATGGTGAGGCCCAAAGGGGGCAAGGCAGGTTACAGACAGCACCTGCTACAATGGGTTATGGGGTTGATGGTTATGGGATCAAGCCATGGGGAGGTGGCAATGAAGGATGTCAGGGTGATGGAAATGGGACCTGAGGTTCAGGGTATGAGGATGGGAGTATGTGTGAAGGAGGGAGTGAGACCATGGGAGATGTAATGGAGAGAAAGGGTGTTGAGGGTACCTGAAAGTCTGTATTATTCACCCACATCCATGAAGAAGGATAGTTAGGTCCAGAGAGCAGGTTCTTTGCCCACATTTCCCAGGAAGTGTGGCCTCCTGAGGGTGCTCCCCCTCATGGATGGGACAGGGGGCAGGTCTTAGCTTTGACCAGAAGAGAACAAGCTCCACTCTAAGTTCTCCACAAAGGTCTGATGGCCTCTAGCTCAGAGGTTGGGTAGAATCCTCTTGGTCTTCCCGAAAGAATAATGGGGCTAGCCCCAGGGAGGCTGGAACTACTGTAGCGATCCCAGCCCAGGAAGGCAGCAACAAGAACCAGGCTGTTTGAGTTTCTGGCAGGCCTCTTGCCAGTTGTGAAGGTTAAAGAACCCAAACCAAACTAGTGAACGCAAACAAGGGCATTTATTGGCTCATAAACTAAAAAGTTGGGCAATGTGTCCTTCAGGCACAGCTGGATCCAGGGACTCAAATGATGTCCTCCAGATGGATTCTCTCTCTGCCTCTCAGCTTCTCTGTGTGGTGTCAAGATGGCCCTAGCAGTGACATGCACATATCCCTGGTTTCTATGCAACTGAATGACCCAGTTTGAATTTCGTTGGCCTAGCTTTGGTCACATGTCCATCCCTGAACCAGTCCCCGCGGCCAGAGGGATGGAATGTGCTGATGGGCTAGGAACCTAGCTACTGCTGCTGTAAAGAACCCACTGGTCTTATCTTCCTCGAACAAACTTATCTCCCTCCCTTCACCCAGCCCTGTCTTGCCTTGTCTAGCCCTGTTCTGCCCAGCCCAGCCCAGCTCTGTCCAGCCCTGCCCTGCCCAGCCCTGCCCTGACTGTCCTGCCTAGCCCAACTCTGCCCTTCTCAGCCCTGCTTAGCGCAGCCCAGCCCAGCCCAGTCCAGCCCAGCTCAGCTCGCCCTGCCACTGTAGCCTCAGTGTCCAGCACAGGACCTTGTGCAATCAGCGTTTGGTACATATTTATGGAATATATGTAGGCGTGTGTCTGTACATGTGAATGTTTTCATGGTGAGGGTGTCAGCATTCCTTGGTGCCCCCAAGGCTCTGATCTCAGGGCAGGGAGGGCTGTGGGGCTGAGGGGACAACGGACAATTGCAGTAACACTGAGGGCAGCTGGCATAGCAATCAGGTCTCATTTTGGGTTGGGGTGGTGGTGTGGGAGGGAGCAAAAGTCTGAAGGTAAATGCAATCTCCCAATAAGAACAAGAAAGGAGAAGTCTTAACTCAGTGCCAGTTAATAATCTCAAAGGCACACTGTGGGCCTGCCCCGTCTCATCCCCTGATGACGTCAAGCCTCAAGATACAGGCTGAGACCAAATTCCTCATCTAACTTCATCTGACTGATAAACCCCTCAAGATTTGGACCCATTTCATAAAAGTGCTGATTTTTAGCCAGGCATATGGCTGCCTGGAAAAAAGAACTATATTCTCCAGCCTCCCTTGCAGCTAGATGTGATCATATGACTATGTTCTGCTAGTAGGATGTTAGCAGAAGTATGTGCAACTTTCAGGAAAAGGAGGTACTTTCTAATTCCTACTATTGGGATATAGATGTGATGGGTGGAAATACAGCAGCCATGTTGGACTATGAAGTTACCTTGGTGTCTTAGTTATCTAGTGCTGCTATAACAAATATAACACAAGTGGGTGGCTTTAACAAACAGAAATTTATTTTCTCACAGTTTAGGAGGCTAGAAGTCTGAATTCAAGGTGCCGTCTCTAGGGGACGGCTTTGTCTCTCTGTCAACTTGGAGGAAGGTCCTTGTCTCTTTGAGCTTTTGCTTCTTGGTGATCTTCATGTGGCTTGGCATGTCTCTTTCCCCATCTCTGCTTATCTCACTTGTGTGTTTAATCTCTTTTATATCTCAAAAGACACTGACTCAAGATACACCCTACACTAATCTTGCCTCGTAACAAAGACAACCCATTCCCAAACGGGACTATAACCACAGTCATAGGGGTTAGGATTTACAACACATATTTCTGGGGGACATAATTCAATCCATAACATTCCATTCTCTGGCCACGCAAAATTTATGTCCTTCCCACATACAAAACACATTCACCCCATCACATCATCTTAAAAGTCTTAAATCAACACCAAGTCCAAAATCTCATCTTCTCAACATCTAAATGAAATATGGATGAGACTTTAAGTGTATTCCATCCTAGGGCAAAATTTCTCTTCATCTGTGAATCTGTGAAAACTAGAACATGAGTTATCTGTTTCCAAAGTACAATGGTAGAACAGGGACAAGGTAGACATTTTACTTACACATGGGAGAAACTGGAGGGAAAGAAGGGATAACAGGCACCAATAAAGTCCAAAACCCAGAAGAACAAATCACATTAGCTCTCAAGGATTAAAGATAATCCTCTCTTCTCTGAGACCATCTGGACTCTGGATGTGGCCACGCCCTCTGGATTCTGGGTGGAGGCCCCTCAGCACTGGGCTTCAGCTCTGCTGTCCAGGTGCTCTGGGATGGCAATTCTGTTCCCTTGGCTTTAGGTGGCCCCATTCTCCTAGTCCACCTGAGTGGTGACCCCACTCCCTTGGCCCAGCAGGCTGCATTCTTCTGCCACTTAGGCATGGCAACCCCACCACCTCAGCTTTGGTTGGCAGCCCCATCTCCGTAGCACACCTTAACAGCAGCCCCACACTATAGAACCAAGTTGGGGAAGATCCGACTCTGAAACCTAGGAGGCTGTGGCCCCACCCTTTGAAACTGAGAAGGCCCTGCTTCCCCTTCTCCTTCCAGCAATTCTGCTGATCTCCAAGCTACTCCAGGGATAGTCCTTTTCTTGGAGGACAACAGAAGTAGCTCCTTTCGCCTGTTTTCTGTCTGTAGAATTTCAAGAGGCAGACAGCATTCTCTCCTTTCGTTATTTTTCTATTCCATTTAGTGTAAGCTAACAGGTTTTCTGTTGTGATAGTTGGTAAATCCATCAGTCACAGGCTTAATCTCTTTAACAAAAAGATTGTGTAGCCACCTCCTTGGTGAAAATTATATGACGTGTGTCCTTAGCTTGTACAACAGAATTTTCCAAATCTTTAAGTTTTGTTTTCATTTTGCACAGTTCATTTTCAAGTCCATCTCTTCTCACATTTTACTATAAACGGCAAGGAGCAACCATGCAGTCCCTTTAAGATCTTGCTTAGAAGTCTCATCAGCCAAATATCCAAGTTCGTCACTTACAAGTTCTACCTTCCACCAAACATTTGAACATAATTCAGATAAGCTCTTTGCCACTGCATAAAAAGCATCACCCTTTCTCCATTGTCAAATCACATGTTCATCATTTTCTTTTAAAGCCTCACCAGAAGCACATTTAATGTAGACATTTCTAGCAATATTCTGTTGCTGGCACCATTATGTATTCTCTAAGATGATAGAGACTTTCTCTACAGCTCTCCTCACTTCCTTCTGAGCGCTCACCAGAATTGCCTTTGATGTCCATAATTCTAGCAACAGTCTCTTCAAGGCAATCTAGGCTTTTACTATTAGGCATCTTA